GATAAATGCCGAAAGGGACCTTAATTTTAACGCTACGCGACCCGCCTCGGCCTGAGCTTCTGTAACAAGGCCCGTGGCGAGGCGCATGCAAGCAAGCGGTGCTTAAATCCACGACCTCGGGCTCACAGAAAAGAGGCATCTCGTTTTAGGATTCTGGGTGTTGAAGTTGCCAATCCCAGGGGGGGCGGGGGCCTATGGCAGGCTGAAGTGCCCCCTGGTCCTGTTGCCCCGTTTGCTCCCGCCGCACACTTGTCGGCGTCCCTGGGCTGTGGGGAGGGGACTAGAGGTGGGGTGCCTGCCTTGTGCCACCCAGACACCTACGGCCCAAGGCCTCGGCGGATTGAATGCAACGTCCGTATGGATGCGGCCATTTGTTGATGTCAAAGCCGGGCTTGGTTTGCGTGCTTGCGTGCCAGCAGCGAGCGAGCATCTTCACAGGTGATCATGGTCGTTGTAATGGTCGCTCTTTGGGCAATATTGGCGGTGCAGCTCATACACCCGATCAACTACAGGACTCCAAGTGCAGTGTGCACGCAGCGCGCAGCATGTGCGATCTGCAAACCTCTAGACGGTTTTCGCCAGGATCTGGGTTGACACGGACAGAGACTGTGAACGCTGCCTTCATGCCTTCGAGAGCGTATGGCTTTCTGCCACTTTGGCCGCTCCCAGAGTAGGAGAGAACAGTGTTTTGGGCTCCTAGACCAGGCGTACTAGGAGCTCTTTGAGATCTTTGGAGTGGTTCTAAGTTCTGAGTGCTCCGCTAAAGATTCAGCGCGCCTGTCAGCAAGGCTCTGACACTGTTGCAGACTGTGATCGCAGGCCCACAGCGTTCGTGAACACTGCCGAAGTACCAAATCTCAGTTGTGTGGCTGGTAGCGGCTGGTAGTGCAGGGTTTCTAGGCATCGGACGCACGAGACAGGTGACAGCTGGGGTGAGTTAGCTTTACCAATCTTGGAAGCCGAACCCATCACGATTGCCTTCTTCGCGGGCGTGATCGTCTCTGTTGTGGCTTGTCTGCGGACCACGTTCAGAACTAACTGCTTGTTTAACAATACATTATTGCGTTAAATGCACTGACCTTGGCATGAATGAACTCCACTTCTTGGAGCCACCGCGGCATCCGGCTTTCTATTCTTCTAGTTATGGGATGGGTTTTCTCCTCTGTAGTTCGTTTCAGATAGATAGGTCGTGGACAACACTTCGACCGGGGCACCCAGAGACTCTGCTATTTTCTAACCCCTGAAGCCTTCAACCTTAAAACGCGTCAATTCACGATTGTCCAGTGCCGTAGCTCGCGACCTGACAAGCATGCAGAGGGCAGCATGACGTTGTGAGAAAAGCCACGAAGTGGCAAAAGCTGTTAAAATCTTGCTGAGTTCTTCATGGTAGTGCTGTTCCACACTGCCCATTTGTGACAACAGGCGACCTCACCCCCCAGCAATATTCAGGATCTAGCGATGCTGAACCTGATCCTGGCTGTAATCGTCGACTCCGCGCAGGATGCGCGATCTGTCAGTCCGGGCCTCAGGACTCAGGATCGCAGCTGCCTCTTTGCCCCTCGGGCACCCACGACACCAGGAAAGGTCCCCCCAGCTTATCATCCGCGATCATTCTTCATATGCCATTCCGAACCTTGCCAGTAGTCTTGGAAGCAGGAAGGAAGCCCGAAGAAAGAGGGCAGGAGTTAGTCTGAGGTGATCATGAACGTGCACTGCAGATGGAGAAGGAGCGTTTGTTTGTCCCTGCAATATGCCCAAATGGCCCAAAGATCGATGCCCAAATAGACGCCACATGCTGGTTGTATCAAGCTCCTTGAAGTCGGTGTATCGGAGGACTTCAATGATGCCACACAGCGGCTCTACAGGCTGTGCCGCCGCCTAGACTTGGACCCTCGGACAGAAAGTTGTAAGGTTCATAATAATCTTCCCTCCCCCCCCCCCCCCCCCTACTGCGGCCCGTCTAGATTTTTCTGGCTCTGCGCCAGTCCAAATGAGGGTGCCAGATAGGCCGAGAGACCCTCAAAAACATGGCTGCTCGTCGGATGAAATGTACGTAGCCCACTCAAGGATGCAGTTCTTAAGGGAGGCTTGGGCCTGAAGGCCTCCTACCACGCTGAAATCGCTGAATATATTTCTTATATACACATATGACTGTGTTTTCTAATGCAAGCAAAGTTCCTGAAAACAAACCTGCAAAGAGTGGATTTGGCCACTGACCAGGCCGAATTCATCACCGGAATTGTTTGCTTTCTTACTGCAGATTTGCAGTCGACAGTAAGTTGCACCGATGAGTTGCGTGTCTTGTGAATTGCGAGCCAGCTGCAGAAGCGATGGGTTCGCCTGTGCTGCCGTCACGAATGCCTTGCACTGAGGATAATTCTGGAAAGATCGATCCTACGGAGTTCGTCAAAGGCCCGTTACTTAAACAAAGCATGGTGCCGTCGCTACCGCTACCACGCTACTGCTGGTGCTGTTCCTACTACGAATACTACCATACGGCCTCTGCCACTTCCGCTACCTCTCGTGATCGCTGATACTACCATTGCAGGATGATATATGAGCGGATTCTTTGTCACCTTGCGAGTCTGCTTCTTTTTGCATATTCAATTCACGTGATGCCAAGCGGCAGCGTTCTGCAGGATTCGAGCAAGATCAGGATTTTTCCGACTGTCTGAAAGGCATGGGTGCCTGGCTTGCACTTAGATCAGAGATCCAACATGAACGTACGGACTAGACTGGAGCCACGCGAAGACCTTCGCTCTAAATCCATTTGCAAAATCCAGACCGCATTGGCAGGGAGTCGCGGCAGTGGGTTCAAGCTTCGGGAGTCGTCACGCCGTTGGCATATGCACAAGGACTCGCGACACCCTGGGCGAGCAGCATGAGCATCAGGAGCGTTTTGTTTTGCGTCATCGTCACACTCTGGGCGAGCATCATGAGCATCAGGAGCGTTCTGCTTCAGGAATCGCCATAGATGGGCATGATGAGAATCAGCAGCGCATTGCTTCAGGAATTGCAACACGAAGGGCTCGCCTCATGACAATCTTGAGCATAGGCGTCAGGAATCCAGCTCCTCTCGTGCGAATTGGGGTTAAAATCGGTGCGTTATGCACGGCAAGCTGGTGCTCTACTTTCAAAAGTTGGTTGGTACACACGATAACGTTTGTACAGCCCTTGGCCGACTGTTGTTCAATATGGGTTACAGATTTAATCTTTTCTCCTAGGTCTGGTGGCTGCCGATCAAGATAGATAGGCGCTCAATGCGTACTTTGATGTACTTTGTGCTCGATCTTGTGGGGGGGAGGGGGTACCTGGACAACATATATACTCAATTATACTCAGGTTAAATGGCTGCTTTATGTTTATGGTGGAGTCGCGTAGCAGAAGGCTCGCGGAAGGAATGAGGAATACGCCGCGGAATCGGCGTAGAAGGCTCACGATGTCCATCAAGTCATGCTTGAGAAAAGAGAGAAGAACACGGCTCAGATGTTACCGAAAGACAAAGGTATTGGTGGCCCCGACCTGGAATGGGTTCTTTCAGTCCTGGACAAAGACGATAGTGGTGACATCAGCCTCCTGGCTATGCAAAAGCTGTTCTGAACCCCTCCAACAGCACTGGCTTGGCATGTCTTTCAACACTGGGGCCGTTAGCTTGGGTGGGCAAAGTTTCCTGCCTCAAATGAAGCGGCAAGTGTGCAAGAGCGCATCATTCCTTGAGTAGCCTTCAAATAGGCCCACTTTTGTCGGGTTGTCAGTTTTTTGCGGCAGTTCAGTTCTAGCGTCGCTGGCGTTGCCGGACCTTCAGCCAATTTGTCCTCATTCACCCAGAAAAAAGTTATGCAGCGATTGTAGGGTCGTTCGCAGAGTGTGTGTGCAAATGGGTCATAGTGGTGCAATAGCCACTTCTGTTCACTTGCAGCCTAGCATGCTTTCAGTATCCGTCTTTAAAGCCTGGTTGTTGTCACTTGCTCGCCACTGCTAATAAGGCCTGAGTTACCGGAGGAACTTTCTCAGCCATCCTAAAAACTGAGGCCCAGATGAGTTTGTGGATCAGCTGTACAAGCTGCGTACCCATGAGCACTTCGGTCGGAAATGAACGGCAACACACCAAACAGCTTGGGTGTTGAAGCGAGGTTTTTCGCTGCTTCGGCTGGCATAGGCTAATTTACCGATCCTTGTCTCCTTTCCCCATCCATGACGTTGGCCATGCTAGTTAGGTTAAAATGAACAGATGAGCGCATGTTCGCTGTCGTTGTGGGCGCATTCAGAGCATCATTTCCTGTGCTTCGGTTTGATAAGGACGCACCAGATTCTATCCACCCTCACAGATGTCCGGAAGCTTCTTCGAGAGCTTGCGGTAACTCAAGCAGGTGGGCCTTCGTCCTGTGTTCGTACGGCACAAAGTCCGATGGATTTGCTCTGATAAATGTCCTTCCCAACGCTCCCCACCCAAAACGAGTCAGAGTCATCTCGGGTGTCAATGGCGGGTCGGACTGATGACTGTCTCAAAAAAGCAAGGCTGCCTCCTTCGATTCCTGATCTGCTCACTAGTTTGGCTCGGAATCAGAGTCCTTTGTCGTCACTCGTGACGTAGCCGTGATGTGGGCCAGATCGACCTCCGTAGAAGCATAGAACCATGGAGGTGGGCACGGTGGGCATGTGGTGCCTGACAGCCCTTGGTTCCACACTCTTGGCAGCGGCTTTGAACGCGGAGTCTTGCCTGCTGCAACGCTCCTCTCCGCGCAACGAAGTGGAGCTGGACCGGTGCACATCGTCTGCAGAATGGGTGGAGCAGCTTTCCATGACTCCATCGCACGCTATGAAACCACTCTTGCCAAATTACTAATTATTCAGCGGATGTATATGCAAATTTCGCACTGCTTTCATGGACCAGGCTGGGAAATCGAAGCGACTACGCGGACTACACCAACAGCTCCACTACCCTGATTTACGCAAACACGGGACGGGGCTGGCAGTTGGATGCCGACTTGCGTGAGAGTATGAATGCTCAGAACGTGCTGGAGATGATGCGGTATGATTACACGCTGCTCGGGCTGCAATCTTCGTTGAGCAGCATGGGCTTGGCGGTAACCTTTGGTGTGTTAATCGAAATGGGTCCGCCCAGCGTCATTCGTGGCTGCATCTACACTTTCGCCCGTGATGGAAGCGCGTGGAGTTTCTTGAGCCGGCAGGAGATCGCCTTGTGGAGCGAACTTTTTACTCCCAATGATGGGCGAAGGTTTGTACGCCTTGGCAAAGACATTCTCATGATGAGGGATGGAGCCGGTGCTTCTGGAACCCCGTTGCAGTGGATAGCTTTCCAGTTCGAAGAGGGCAACTGGACCCGGCGTCCTGAGGCAGATCTCCCTAGGAATGGTGCTCCCCAATCTTCGACGGTGAGGGAACTCGCACATGACGGCCGGACCCTTGCGGCAGGGCCAGGTGCGAATGGAGAAATCTTCATCCACGAATGGCAGGGAGACTCCTGGCGAAGCCCCGTCGCAAACTTGTCGGTTCCCGCAGAAGCTGGCGTCGAACTTAGGCAACTGTATTTTCTCGAAGTGCACGGAGACTATCTTCTCGCAATGCGGTACGGATTTTCCTCGCAGGCCCAGGCCTTGGTTCAGGTGCTGGTAATTCACAAGCGTGCAGACGGCTCGTGGCCTGAAGTCTACCGTGCCAAAGCGCCAGAAGAGTACAATGCCATGTCTGCCAGCATCCACAGCTCTGGCAAGTCAGTGGTGACGTATTCGTCTTTCAACTACAGGTTGAAGCTAGGCTTCGTCCGAGTGTTCGAGTCGGGATCCGGTGACAATTGGACCGTGACGCAGACCGTGTTCCGCAACTTCAGTCGGGATCCTAATCCCATCGTGGCCCTCTCAGCAGAGGCAGTGGTCTTGGCAGAGAATGAGTCACCGCTCCCGCCCACCAGCATCATCTACAGTTGCAACGACACTGGCACGATGATTCCTACAGCTCGGACACCCACTGCAGCAGGGACGCCCTTCACGAGTCCACGATGCTTCAAGCCCTGCAAGGGGCGCTTTCCTCGACGACGGCGTCTCCGCCTGCGTATGTGCATACGGCGCTGTAGGGCCAGGCGTAAAATGGGGCACGGCATAAGGCACTCAGCATCTGTACAGTGAGAGACACGGATACTGTAGCATGATTGTGTGCTCGTCAATGTATGAGACTACGAAGTTTGTAAGACTGGGCCTCCTTTAAAGACGAATTCACCAATGCGACTTTGGTGAGCTGCGGGAGCTATCGCAGCAGCGTGCATCAATTGAGCCCTGGAAAGGAAATGCGTGCAACTTTGTGGTGTGCGAGTTTTGATCTCTCGGAGCAAGCTGCGGATTCATGGTCAGGGGGTTCTTTCGTCTCGGCTCCCCTGGCGCTCTGGTGTATCAGGGGTTTAGGCAGTTTAGGGTTTATAGGGCTTATCCCAGCTTTCTGCACTTGGTTTAAGTCATATGCAGGTGAAAGTGTGAGATGGCCCCAGAAGTAGCTTACTATGCAGCGGTGCAGGCATCATTGTGCACAACACTGCGCTCCCGCCAGACACGGCAGGGCCCGTAGTTGCCGTAGTTGCTCAGAACCAGGAATGATTCACAGCACTAGAGCTGAGAGCAGGTCACATGCTCAAGTCATGCCAAGGGACAAGCGAATGGCTGGAAACCGAGACATTCCCGATACTCATCAGCCACCTGGACGCAGCAAGGATAGCTCAGAAACAAAGCTGATTGCATTCCGACCCAACACTTAAAAGCCTTAAAACATATCTGCGAACCAGTCCTTTCGGCTTCAGATAACATCTCCCACGCACTTCTTGCCCTGTCTTGCCCACTAAGGAGGGCTCCTCAGAAGTGAGCTGCGTGGACTGCGCCACTTGAAGGCTGGAAAGTTGAAGATAGTTGAAGTTGTAAAGCACGACAAAGCAGGCAACTTAACGCCTTCCACCAAAGCCTCATCCCTGCGAGTTCTGAACATGTCGGGTCTACGAGAGTAAGGAGCTACTGAGAGCTGCTTTCAATCTCCTTCTCTTTGTGGCTCGGAGGTGGTTCACGTCGACCTTTCCGCAGCCTCAGGTTTCACTCGGCTACATGCCGAAGTACGTCGAAGGTTCCTGCCCCACCATGAACCCAGCAAAACACAAGGGACTACAAACACGAGGAGTCATGATCCAGATCAGCGTGTCGGACTTGAGACACAGATAGAGAGCTTGGACTTATTTATTTGTTCCACGGGCGCACAGCTAAATGCAACTGATCCACATGACAGCTGATCCTGTTCTGCTTGCAGTCAGAGTGCAGTTGTATGCGCGTGTTTCCGAATTTTAAAACAGCTTAGCCTTAGAGCTGTGGCAGGTCCGGCGGGTGCGTCTTGCTGTGTTGCAGCTCGAGGTTGGAATGTCAGGACTCAGAAAGCCAATGCCGAGAAGCACCCGTCCAAACCGGTGGCAATGAGCTTTGTGGAGCAGTCCCTGGTCAGGTTGCAATTAGTTGCAATGCACTCCTTGAGCGTCGCCACATGTCTCGGCCAGCGAGCTGCTTTACAGATTTACGGGACCGAAGATCAACAGTAGTCGTCATTACTATATACGAGAGGATAGTAAGACCCTTTAATGAACCTAGTTTCTGCCGACATGGACGGCGTAGACCCCAACCGTGCAAGAGCACACCAAGAGCACCCCAAGAGCATTCGACAGCACTCGTGCGCGTGTCGTGCGTGCTGCAAGGTAAACCTTGGAACTTTGCCTGCAGTGCAAACATTGCGGAATAAAGACTAAACTAAAGCAAGCAGGCTGGTTCGTCTATCGTCTGTCATTCACCATTCATGCGCAGGCTTTTGCCCACTGCAAATTGTAACTGTCAACAACCATGGCTTATCTATCCACGTTAATCGTCTATGCTCCTGTACTCTTTCGGTTGGACTGCTCACTTGAAGCTCCACACACAGCGGAGAGTTTCAGCAGGAAGGGGGAGAATGTCCTGGGACGATTCTCCCACCAATGTGCTGTCTGGAGAAACAGCCGTGTTGACAGCTTCATTCCAGCATATGCTTTTTATATTAGCAGGAGAAGGGTACTTGGCAAGGTTGGTCTTGACAGCACCATGACCGAGAGACCCTAGGTAACCCTAAGCATCACGACCCTGACCCCGCTTCATGCATCTTCATGATGAGACCCCGGTTCCAAGCTGGTATAATACAGTCGATGAGAGGTGAAACTGCCACGTAGTCGCTCATGCACTGAACCGAGAACAGGCATACCAATTTGGCATACCGCACTCGTTCATCGCCCATGACCACTTAGAGAATGAATGGCAGCTGAGACAGTTTTGCAAGAAAAGCGTTCACCAGACTTGTATGAAAAGTTATATCAGCAACAGACACGGAGGAATACATTGGGTGACTCGGCTCTGGTGACCTGCCAACCTTGCGGTAGCCGGTTTTCAGGGTTTGTAGGGGGCTCCACCCCACTGTTGAAATGCAACTGAGAATGGGCAAGATGCTGACTCCCACGGCTTGTGGTATTTACTCTTCATTGCTCTTCATGGCGTGTCATCAAATTCAGCTTTCCCGTGCCCGAAATCAATTCATGGGGGAGCTCCCAAGGGTGCAGCGTGGATGAAAATGTCAGAGCACTTGGCAACAGTCCGTTGGTGAACTGACTGTTCTCACGCACGCTCCCTCATTTTCAAGTGTTGTCTGCCCGGCGAACGCAGTGCGGCACCGAGAATCGGTGGTCCGTATGGGGTATTGGCGCTCGAACCCGGAAGAACCGCTAGCTGTGATTGGGGACGAAAGATGCAGAAGCGGTTTTAATCCAGGGGCCGAGCGCCAAGTTCCCGATCATGCAGTCGTGTAGAACCGGATCTGGGCACACAAGCCATGACTCAGAAGCTTGCAAGACGTCTTTTTTGGCCACCATCTACCATGCTAACATGAGATACACTTAGCCAGCAGCTGCTGATTGTCAGGATCGGTTTCCTGATTGATTGGGTATATGTCGGCATTTTGCGGAAAAGATGCGACCGCTCGAGTAGGCAAAGGGGCGCATCAGATTCTGTAAGATTCAAGAGTGTCTACTTACACAAGTCGCATGACACATCTGGGAATGATTGCTTTGCTGAGGACTCAGTGGGCATTCCTTGCCCAAGTTGCTGAGAGCCTGATCTTGCTGCGTGGCCCTTACACCCGTTGTCAGGCTAAGTTCCACCGACGCTGGAGCAAGCCCAACTGTGTAGTAGGTTGAAGCGCACGCACAAGTTCCATGATCCTGCAACCAGTTTGCTGGTAGGGCAGGCAACTCTTGTCCTGATTCTGCTTGCATGCGCTTGCTTGCCAAGGGTGTGTTCAGCAGCAGTCTCAGTGGCAGAGTGCCAGTTGTTGCTCCGTTGTGTGTAGTTCGGCAGAACTTGACATGGCCCAGTTGGGGATGTGCTTCTGTGATCTTCCCTTAGACTCGCAGCAAGTGTTTGGTTTGAGCCGCAGCTGCTCAATCAAGTCGGAACACCTCCGTGCCGGCGCATAAAGTCAAAGCATCTGGGGGCTGATTGCTGATTGTGGACCTCTTGACAAATTAAAACAGCACGGCGTGGTCTTTAAGAATCGCCATGGCCCTTGGGGAGGATCATGTTCGGGCGAGATGCGGGAGGAGCTGTTGGTCTTGAAGCCTGTGTGAGTTAGGTAGGGATGGTGATTGCAGCACGCTTCTTGTGAGGAGCGACGGATATCATATATCATGGCTTCTTAAACCATTGCTTTGGAGAGCCGGCGCAAGGACTTGCGGACCCTGAACCTGGCATCCGCCGATGTGGTCTACGCATGAGACTTCACCTACGCTTCGCAGGCCCTGTTTGGCCTCCGGGCTGGTCGGCATGGCGTGAAATTTCTCGAAAGCAATCGAGCAATCATTAGTCTTGGGGCCCGTGCTGCTTTCATTCCTGGTTTTATCATTCGGGGGCTTTGCCAATCGGTTTTGGTCGGATGCAAAGTGCTGTCTGCGTCGTTAAGGACAGACGCATGTCGAGTACGATCTGCTATCTTCTAGAGACATGTCTTGAGCCCAGGAGCATACGGGTTGGGTTTTGGCTTCAAGACGCAGGGTTCAGCGAGGTGCATGGGAAATTCGTTGTCAGTACAGTAGCACTGAGGGTACACGGAGGGCCATCTTTTCTTCTTCTGGATCGAGGGTGTACAGTTCAGGTCATTCCCACAAAGGTGGCGGGAATCGTTTGGCCAGCTTCTAGGAGGGTTTGCAACTTGAACGTTCACACGGGATAGCACGGATAGCAAGGTGTGGCGATGGCAAACCGAGGACATTGTGGGTAGTGGTGGAAGTTGTAGAGTGGTGGTGACGGCTGCGGTGGCGGTCATGGGTGGTGGCATGGCACTGTGTAGGTGAGAGTGCAAGTGCGCATGAATGTGTTAGGGGTTAGTCTTCGCAGTTGGTTTCTAGTGTTGTTGGTGGGTTCGAGGTTGGTCGATGGTTGTCCCGTGACAAAGCAGTTTCAAATCTAGCTTACATGCAGCTAGCAGTATAGTTTCAAGACCATGCACTCTGCTGCATGTGGGTCAGTGATGGCTTCCAATTTCTATATGTAGAAGTACCGACATGACGTGGTCAATGGTCTGTACGCATGACACAATGAACAGCCATGGGAGAGCGTAGCGATGCCGACGAAGAGGACATCGCGGAGTTTATTTCGCGCTCCCACATCGATGAAGCTGCAGCTGCAGCGCTGAAGTCCCTGCCAGTGGATCAGCAGCTGGAGGTCATTGCTGGGAGTATCACACGCGCCGCCAACCCCTCTGCCGTCCTGCTTTCACGGATCAAGCGGGTGAAGTTAGGGATGCGGAATCGTAAGCGTCCACACTCACCAGCTGGAGACGTTATGCCTCCAGTGCCACCACCTTGCGATGCTGACCACAACTCTGCTGTAGAACAGTTTTTGGAGCACCACGGAATAAATGCTGAAGCTTGCCAGTCTTTGTGGGAGCTGTCGCCTGCACTGCAAAGGCTGGTAATTCTGGAGCCACTACCAGAATCCGCAAATGCTTATGATGCGCTGCTGGAGCGCATCACCGAAGTTCTGGCAGCTTCACCACCAGAAGAGGCCGCAGCAGCACCAGATTCGGATGCTGTCACGGACTTCCTCAAAAACAACAACATCAGTGGCGAAGTTGAGAGCATCCTACGCAAGCTGCCGGAGGAGCAGCAAAATGCTGTGGTTGCCACGCCGCTCACCGGGGCCCAAAAGCCTTCGGCTGTCTTGTTGTCTCGCAACTTGGGTTGCAGGTCTCTTTCCAATGTGTAATCCAACATGTAATGTAGATGTGGTTGGCATTTCGGCATCTCTGAGCCCTGCCGATGCCCTAGATGGTTTGAGATGTCAACATCCTGAGGCAATCATAAATATTATGACAGGAATTCCCTCTGGGGCAATCACAAATTAAAAATTATTATGACAGGAATTCAGTGTAGTAGCTTAGCTGACAGACCGACTGAGAGGTGGGGAAGAATCTCGACGACTGGTGGCCTGGGTGAAGGTTTGAGGCTGAATGTGAGAGGTCCGGGTAGAGGCTTTGCTTGACAGACTCGGCCCTGGCACATGATGGCCCGACATTCCGCTACACTTTCCCTGCTGAAGCACACAGTAAGGAGCGTTCAGCGAACAGCAAAGAAACCAGGCAAGTGCAGGCACGAGACGAAAAGTTTGTCGTTGTGTGTGTGTGTGTGTGTGTGTGTTGGTGTGTTGTGTGTGTTGAGATGTGTGTGTGTGTGTGCGCGCGCGCGTCGTGTGTGTGTGTGTGCCCAAGCCCTCAACACTAAACTAAACCCTATAGCCTATAGTCATGAACCCTAAGTCCCTAAGTAAACATCCTGAACCCGAAACCTTATACCCTAAACTCAATACTCAGCGTCATCATAGTGATTAGCTTATGTTGGCATAGTGAATGGCAAAAAAGCGTTCTAAAAATGCCTGCGTCCGCAGTTTCACCTGGCTTCGCGGCTTGCCTAAATTCCTGTGTCTACTTGGGGATTTCTTTGCCCTGATGTGTACCTCCACCGCTGATGCGTATTTCCGTTATGTAGCGTCTACAATGTATTCTCACGGCATAAGCCCGCCACTTTTATGTGCTGTATGTAAACATCCACAATCTGATACAATCTGCAGTCTACAAGTGCGTGCATGTGGGCAGTGTGGGGGCGGGGGAGGGTGGGGTGTTTGGACCCTCAAATCATCGTCGTGACGCCAACAGTCACAGTGGCTCGTGCCGCGTCTTCCGGTCGAGTCCTGCCGAGTCGTCTTCGTGATGGGGGGACTTCGCAATTGCGGCAATTGTGGCAAGACTCGCCAACCCGTGTCTGCGTTCTGCACGCTTGAGTTTCCGGGGGCCGAGTATCATATCAGTTCGAACTGACAACACAACTTTTCAAACAGTCGTGGCGCCAATGCCTTCAGGGTGTTCAGAGAGTCGGCCTTTGCCTCTGTGTGTTCTGCAGTTCTGCCTGTTGCACTGCTGAGGCATCAACCGCATCAAGTCAGGCCATGGAGTCAGTGACCTGGACCTTTTCTTGCAGACTTATCCGTTCGACGGCGATGCCCGCCGCAGCTTCCTGGAACTGAGGGCTGACCAGCAGCGTCAGCTCATGAATGAAGATTTCTCGATGTGTAGGAACCCGAGCGCCTACCTCATGTCCCGCGTGCGATACATTAAAGATACGGAGGCCCAAGTCCAAGAGCGCAAGGGGAGGGCATGGCCTAGCCCACCTCCCCAACCACCCCCACCACAGCCGCCACAGCCACCACAGCCGCCACCTCCACCTCCACCACCGTCAGGCAACGACATCCTTGAAACCTTCTTGAGCCGGCACGGAATCGATGCAGGGGGTCGAGAAGCTCTGCGGCAGCTCCCGGCCGAGCTACAGCTTGCAGTGCTTGCGCACGATCACGACATTGGCGAAGGAGGTCGGAATCCATCTCAGCACCTGGTCTCGCTGATTGGGATGGCTTGGGCTGGCACTTTGAAGCCACCGCAGGCATCGGATCATGAGGCACATGAGGCCTTTTTGGGCAGAAGTGGAATCGATGACGCTGCGAGACAAGCCTTCTTCGAGCTTCCAACAAATTTGCAAAAGGTAGTGATTGACGAAGGCCCGATTCTTCACTGCTGGAATCCTTCTGCTGTGCTGCACTCCCGGATTGGGCGAGCTCGGGCGATGTGGAAAAGTGAGGCCTTCACAAAGCCGCCTCCTCAAATGGCACCTCGCGGCCTGCTGCCCGTCCCGCTTGTGAAGCACCCACCTCTTCAGGCACTTGAAGCCGGACCTGTGGTGTGCTCCCCAATTCCGCCCATCAGGTCTCCATTTTCAGGAGCCCCTCCTGACGGTCCAAACTTGACTCCAAACCTTTTAGGGGGGTGCCTGGCTGGATCGACTGGGGCACTCACGGATTCTGCGATTCCAAGACCATTTGCCAAAGGGCACAGTGACCTCGGCGATGTGAGGGACGCAAAGAAGCGAAAAGCTGATGATGAGGATGGGCAGCTGGATTTGGCGGCCGACCGGGAAGCAAGTTCAGAAGTCTTCCTGTCACGGTGTGGCTTCTAAGTATTTGAATTCTCTAATGGGATTCAGAATGTACAAGGCTGTTGCCAGATGTTCCTTGTGAGATCTGTCAGTCTAAGTTTGCCCCAGTCAAGGTGGAGGGTTTCCTCCGGCTCAATGGCATCGATGGCAAATCCTGTCGTGCTATGCGACGACTGCCGCGGCCTGAGCAGCGAGCGCTGATCGGAATGGATCTGCGGCATCGCCGCAATCCATCTGCAGCTCTGTGGATGCAGATCCAGAAGATGCGGGAGGAGAGCAAAGAAGAGAGCAGAGAGGACGGAAACGATCGAAGCGATCCTTGGCCGCCTGGAGGCCCCCAACCGACACGGGCAGCCCCCTTCGCCAAGTTGCCACCGCCTCCGCCACCTCCACCCGCCAAGCCACCGGCAAAGGCAAAGGAGAATGGACCTGTGGCACTCTCACAAGCGGTGAAACTTGAGTCGCTTGAGCAGGGCAAGCCAAATCATGAACCTAAAGAAGGCGGCGCTGTGGCTTTTGTGTTGTTCCGTCACGGTGGCGGCGCCAGTGTTCCAGAATTTGTCGAAGTGCTCGATCACCTGCACGCGCTGACGTGCGGCAGAGCATCGTCCTCGGACATCCTGATAAAGGTTCAGCATGCCTCTAAGAAGCATGCTGAGTTTCGAGTCGAACATGGGCCAAACGGAGAAGCTCTGCTCATGTTTTGCGACCTTTCCTCGAACGGGACATGGCTCAATGGAGACAGGCTCCCATCGGGTCGCTTGACGCGACTACTTTCTGGCGATATTATCTTCTTCATGCCGCCGGGCAGCAGTGACGATGTCCCTGCATTGCAAGTCGAGGAGCAGCAGACCAAGAGCCAGGAGCCAGATTCGTGTTTTCTGAAGACCACAATGTCGCCTTACAGGCTTAGGGATCTAGGCATTGTTTGGGAAGTTCTATACATGCAGTCACTGCTGTCGCCAAGTGCAGGAGGAGAGCCTTGCTGCTCTCTGCAAACGGGAAGCGCCCCCATCCCAGCAAGAAGTACCGCAGCTGTCGGCCACACCCGCCCAAACTGGGCTCGACCCTTGGTGCAAACTTGCACAAACGAGTCAAGTGAGCCAGGGTCAGTTAGCGTGTCTTCGCATGCCAGTTCAAGAAAGGCCATGGCAGCCATGAACAGGCAATATCCAACAACAGCGATCAGCTTGGGGTTTTGCGCTCTTAAGAAAGGGGTTCGGTTGACAGGGATCTGGGATTTGGGGTGTCGCAGTGTCCTGAGTCAGTGTCTCAGCCTCCCAGCGTTTCGATGATCTCGGGATCGGGCTGCTTTCTGATCCGCCGAATTTCCGCCCATTGCCCCTGTGCAGCGCTGCAGCGCGTGTTTATGGTTGTTGGCTCCCTGCGTCAAAAAACCCGGTCTCTTCAAAAGACGGTGACGACTTTGAGAAATCCCTCCTGGTCATATTTGGTGAATGTTGTGGCAGGTATCCCGATCGGCCGCCGCCCTCGGTGGTATCCCGGTCGGTTTACCGGTCAGTCTCAGTATGTTTCAGCCGGTGACCCAGGGGGGTCTTTAAGCTGATAACTGAGGATCACACCAACTGAAATCGGCATGCAATCAGGGTTTGGGGAACGCAGAATGCGTGGTCGGTGTCCTGGCTGTCCCGGTTGGTGTTGGTAATTATACTGGTCTCTTTCTCCAACCCCCGCGTAGCAGGGCAGGGAGCTCGAAACGGCCAGTACTCAACCCCCTAGCTGCAAGACGCCAAATTAAACCAACAGCGAGCGAGATTTGCATGAGGCGTGGTCATTCTTCTGAACGGCGTTGTCTTTCACTGACACACACACACACACACACCATGACTGACACCACACACCATGTTACCACACCATGACTGACACGCACACACACACACACCCATTGGGGTCAAGTTAATTTGACGTTAATTCAATTACCCTCAGTTTGATTCCCTGTTGGCTGCCCTTCTGCACAAAATTGACTTTCTTGATCGTACTCGTCCGAGGAAGTCTCTGACTGGATCCACAGCATTGGCAGCGGAGGGAAGCTTTGCAATAGACTGATTTCGGAAATCGAGAGCTCCTACGATCACATTCGACAGAGCCACGGCGCAAGCATGGGTACAGGGCAGCGTCATGCGGCATAGAGTCGTTAAGTATGTCAATGAGCATTCCCCTCCTTTGTGCCGTGTTCGGTGTTCATTATCCCCCGCGACCCTGCTGCAACGGGCCCTGCTGCAGCCAGCATCCAGGATCATCGACAACTACAGTGAAAACATTGGTGACTTGGCCTTGTTTGTCGTATGCAAGGTGTCGTGTCGTGTATAGGCAGGAAGCCTCTACTATTCTGATGGGACATGGCTTTTAGAGCCCTCAATTAGATATACCCGATGATTGAAAGTGTTGCGCCCGATGTGCGCATACGATAAGCTACAACACGATGGTTCGTTATGCATGTTCATCTTGTTTTCACGTCAGATCCACTTGTTGGCGAGATGCAGGTGACTTCCTAGACGTGCATTGCGTCAACGATCGCGAAGAAGCAGAAGTGCTTTCTGCTGCTTTGCGGGCTTTATGCTCGTGGGAAAAGAGGGTGCCCTGATGTGGGTTGGCTGCACACTGCGGGTCACAGCAAGTCATCACACCCCCTGTTGCGCTCGTTCGATACTAGTTGCACCCTCCTGCAAGAATGGCCACCGATCGCCACTAAGCCATCATGCTCCTACAACTGCTTCTGGTCGATGCTCGTCAGTGACACTGTATCTTCGGTGTGGCGTAACTGTTCTGCCCAGAAGAGCGAGTTGACATTGCCACACTTGACCGCCTCACCTCAAGTTCAAGTGAGGCGAGTGGGGCATGGGGCTTGCCTCGTGTTTGACCCAACCACAACAAGTCTGCCTCAAACCGGTGGGGGCCGCATGGTGACCCCCCCCCCCCCTTCCGTGCCCTGGAGTAATTTGGGGGAAGTGGGAGAGGTGTGGGAAGCGGGAGAGGTGGGGCAGGTGGCAAGTGGGGCAGGCAGGGCAAACAGGGCACGTGGCAGAAATGGCTCAGCGGTTAACACAGCGCAGGTGAGGCAAGTGGGGCGGTGGGACAATATGGGGCAAGCGGGGCTAGTGGCAAAACACAGTTAGCATTGCAGGTTTGTGTGGTTGCAGCGCTTGGATGGCATCTCTTGGATTGGGAGTGGGTATGTGGCTGTATGTGGCTGTCCCGGGCAGCTCACACCTCGCGTACCATGTTTTTATACTCACAGGCCCATCCGAATTTGGGGATGTGCGGCACATACTTGCATGTGAGGAGGACAACCACGAGACACACAAGAAGGCCTGCTTTGCAAAAACTTCACAGGTATAACTGACACATCCTACGTCTGCGGACATGGATGAACAGAGGCGTGTTTCCAGCGAAAATTCGGTGGAGTTTCTGCTGGTTTCCAGCCACGTGCATTCTTCACACCCCTGCTTCAGTTGCCACGTTTTAGCATCCGAAGCTTGGCCGTGTTGGAGATGCGCTTCTCAAATGGCGTAGCAACCGCTTGGCTCCCCTGTCTGCTCGCAGCCTACTGACAGGAAAAATGTCTGCATGAGGCAGACATGGACCAAGTGCCTAGGCAGTGTCGCTCACATGCCCATCATGCCCATCATGCGCACCATGCCCCCTACCGCCCTGGTAGTCTAATGCCATGACTGCATTCATGATGAGCAGCTGGCTGAACGATGAGAGCACCCCTAGAAGTACCAGACGAAGCGAAGCAGTGCAAGAAAGATGAGAAAGTGCAAGTTAAGGACTGCCAAGTCTCCGGGTCAGTAATCGCAAGTAGGTGATAAGAAACATGCATTTTTTTTCGGAGGCTGCTTGTCTTGTGCACGGGGACTTATGCTCCATGACAGCCATGGCAGAGAAGGGCTGGAACACCAAGGGTTGCATCGTGAAGAGCTGAAGCAGGAAGAGGCAGATATTTCAGAGTCAAGATGTGTCATGATATCTCGCAAGTTTCGCAAAATTCGCTGACATGGTTGCCAGGAATGCTGTCAGCGAGATCCCGCCCAGCGTTTTCAGACCCCACGGGCGCAGAAGTGCTGGGCCATGCCAGCCCTTTAGATATCGGCCTTTCAGGCAGCCCTGAAATCAGGGTGTCTATATCGCCACGAATGTTAAGGGGGACATGTCAAGCCTGATCCTGACATGCCCCACAATCTCACATTTAGGTACTGCGACTTTCTTGCGCATCCTGGGGTGAAGTGCCCAAGCATCTCGGAATTGATTTTCACAGCTTGGCGGCTTCTCGAAGCTCCTCAAACTGGTGAAGAATGTCGAGAGCTCATGGGGCTTATAGCTGACGCGTTGGGTTTGCAGATACCTCCCAAAGGCATCTAGCGGCTCCCACGATCCATGACAACAGCCCGAAACCCTCGAAAATGTGAGGCATTGTCAGGCATTGTGAGGCTGCGGGGAGGGGTGAAAGAGTGGTGAAAGAGAGGTGACAGGTCTACGTTGTAGAGATCTGATGGAACGACTCATGCTCGCGGTACATGATTTGCAAGGATGTTGGCGCGTCGCGAATCACTGCTGCTGCCCAATGGTGCCCACTGTGACCTGCAGCAGCAAAAGGATGTTTATATCTGATTTACTGACGTTCGCCCGCTGACAGCTGACGGCACATTGCGAAGAAATTCACCTCCAGAAGGCTCGTGCTGAGTTCTTCCTTGCATGTCTGCTTTGGCGAAGTTGCCAAGTGCAAACTAGTTCGCAGACTCTCATGACTTAAGGAAGTTTCGGCCGCACGTGATTGTGCTCTTCCATTACGAGGCCGAAAAAACTCGGGCACTTCCAAATTGCAAGTGGGGAGCTGCAAGCGGAGTGCGCTGTACTTGCACTGCTTTTGCACACATCTTGCACGCCACTGCGTACTACGAAAGGGTCTTATCGTCAGCTGGATGAAAGTCACCCGGCGCTGCTGCCACAACTAAGTTTCGACTATAGTAGTGTGCAGGAGCTCGGGCAACATTCTGCCAGCAACACAGCGGTGCTGTTGCATCTTCTGGGTGCGGATCTCTTTTGCTGCGGCCTTCCGGAACATGAAGCGCGCTTGCAAGCGCTTCTGAGGCGAGAGATGGCGAGAGCACAGCGTGACTTCTGACATGGAGCTGGCTAAGTCATGCTACGTCCATGCTACGTCCATGACATTCCCCGCGTGTGTTGAAACCAATTCACTCGAAGATAACCAAAGCAGCTAAGCATCGACGATGATTAGTGCGTTCACGCTTCGCGCGGCCGCATCCTGAAGCCTCGAGCGTGAGCTCTGGATTCAAAGGTGCAAGTTAGATGAAAAATGACAATGGCTGGAACAGGCATACGGAATCCGCCCGGACCGCAAGAGCACTGCTGCCCGGGGACAATTTGATTTCTTAGCCGAAGCTCATATTCATAGTCCGAAGATGGAGGGGAAGAGATTTCAAGGAGGAGAAGATACTTCTCTTCAGACAAGAAGCACAAGCTACCCTTGATCCATCAACATCTCTTCAGATTCACCGGCTCTGGCAGCGACAGCGCCACGGAACAGCCGACAACGAAAGAAAACCCCCAGAAGGCCCAGCAAGCTTGCTAAGCTTGCAGAACCTCGAAAAGAAGGAGCGGGCTGTCTGGGGGAGGTCTGAGTGGAGTGGGAGGCCATTCCACACGGTCCTAAACGCCAAACGGCCACCTAGGCATCGATGTGAGTCATTGCTCATGAGCGGCATCCTGGCAGGGAAGATGTCTCTGGCACCGCCGTGCTGTTCCCTTCGCCGGATGCAGTGCCAGCTGCTGCGCTAGCGGAGGCACATGGAAAACCCTGAACACACACAAGAGAACGATGGAGACATTTTCGTGGGCGCAGAATCACACAGACAGCGCCGAAACCTCGCAGAGGGCCAAGAAGAGTTTTTGAAATGGGCTCTTACACTTCAGCGAACAACTTTGCTTGGAATCCACGTGCATGTCATCCCAACAGGGGCCGATGTATGCTGTCACCCCGAATAATGTCACAGCAACACAACAGCAACACTGCATCCCCTGTGCAAGCCGGTATGGAGCAGCGAGACTTGGCAACAGTGCTGAGAAGTGGAGGAAGATAAAGAAGTAAAAGACATTTTCGGGGAGTTCAGCGAGTATGCAGTCATCAACACGGAGTCAACGCCACAGAAGACGCAAGAATGGAGAAGGTGAATCTATGTGTCGCGTTTGCCCCTTCGACTCCAGTGCAGACAGAAAACCTGCGCAGAGCCGGCTTGAGAGTAGGCTAGCTCCTGGCGAAGTGTAGATCGCTTCTCAGTTACTCCGTAAGGGACGAAGCGCCTGTGCCGCATTCATACTAGCCAAGCACCCAGCAAGAAGCTGGCCAAGCCAAAAGAGGAAAGGCACAGTTCGTGAAAATGTGTGAATAGTGGAAGCAGTGCAATGTTGGAAGAACAAGTCGCCTTCTTCGAGTCGTGCACACACGAGGCCATGACCAGGAGCAATCAAGCGTAGCCGCTAGCCTCAGAGCAAAAGCCAACTGGTACCGCTAAGTCACGAATGGGGCTGGTTCCAACGTGACAGCAGGTTCAATTTGTGACAGTTCGAACTTGCAACGGAGTTTCACAAACCGATGGGCCGCTTCAGGCTGAGGCTCCCCGAAGGATCGTGGTTCTGGATGGAGGCACCAGGAGCATTCAAAAGCGCATATGAGTTCATGGGGAAGTCGGGAAGCCGGGGAATGTGGGGGGGACGTGCAACTATGCATATCTATGCATGTGCCGTGGCAAATTCAGAATGATTCAGAGAGTGGCTCTGTTGTAAAGGCTGGGCTCAGTGCAAGAAGATGAACCAGTGGCTTGACCCGGCCCTCCCAAGGCGCTTCAGCTAGTTGTGTCTTCGCAGATCTTTGGTGCTTTCCTTCAGCAATGCTGAACGGGACAGTCGCTGCCGTCTCGAGAGGTGTGTCGTGGAGACCGCCACTAGAGAAGAGCCACCTTGCCTGCAAGATGCCGATGGATAGCACGAGCCGCGCTTTCGGTCCATGCTGGCTTTCTCGACTTTGTTCTTCTTGCGCAGACCCGGGTTCTAATTGCAGGCCTTCCTTGTCAAAGCAAGAGGAAACCAGCGCGACCCAAACACTGGTAGGTAAAAAGGGTACACGATGATACAAGTACGGAGCCGAAAACCATCAGAATCAAGGAGCCTCCAGTCGATCCGAGGTTCGGTGCCACCAGGCGCTATCGCGGGCAAGCGCACCGTGTTCAAACTGCCTCGGCCTTCGCGGCCCTGTGGCGGGAGCTCGGGGAGGCTTCGGGGCATGCTGGGTTTGGGAGGGGCAGACTGAGATTCTGAAGGGTGGACGAATCACCCTTGGAACTGTCAGGATCCTCGGCATGTGCAAGCCGTTGCGACCCTTGGGCTTAGAAAATCAGAAACTGCCCGAAAAGGGAACCATGCGAATGCGTGAGAAAGCTTCCTTGAGGGTGGCAAGGAGAGAGAGTCGCATCCGCCGTAACAATCTCAGTTTCTGTCAACTTTTTTTCCGCTGAGGCAGGGCCTGTCGGCCTTCATGAGCAGCTTTGAATCCCAAATGGGGCCTGTTGGACGTCTCACTGTGCTGGAGCAGCGCAGCGCAGCTGGTGGGGAAAGAATGTAAAAGGGAATCTGGCCGGAGCATGGTGGACCAGTCGGGAATTATATTTGTGTGCCATTATGTGCGGGCTTGCGCATGTTGGCACAACACGGAATCTCTGGAACTGTCTAGGGTAGCCTGTATACTGTAAGCCCGAATCTCAATAGTTCGAATTCAAGTTGTGTCCAAAGATCCCAGCACATGCCAAAGTCCTCCAATTCTCATCGACAGTGTGATCATGAGAGTACGTAGCATTCTTGCCTCCTTGGCTCCCGAGGCAGGGGGCTTGGCTCTACTGCCTGCGCGGTACGACGAAGACAAGGACAATCTCAAGGGTCGATCGGAGCAAGAGCATGAGCGATTCCCGAAGAGCAGAATTTTCAGTTGCAGTTCCAGTTTGGCGACTAAGTCGAGAGATCTTCATGCCAGTGGAGCTTGCGCTAGATGTTTGTTCATCTTGGCCTTGGGATGAGGAAGACATGCCCCTGCCGGATCCAGTCGCTGCTGCCATTGCGATCTCGGCACTAGCGTAGCTTGGACTGCAATCACGCCGTCATTGTCTGTAGCGACCCGTGTTTTTTGCTGTGCAACCGCGTTGAGATGGGATTCTGTAAACGAGCGGCAAAACCCCGCCGGTATGTCTTTTTACGCTGCAGTCGCCAGTGCGACTTTGTGCCCGAGAGGGCGAAAGTGGATGAGTTAGTCCCGGGCCCGTGTGACTAGACGTGTTTCTTGCAGTGCAGTCGGCTTCTGGGACTATGCAAATGTGCAGCAAACCCATGCGCGCGCGCATGCTTTTTTGCTCTGCAGTCGGCCACGGTGAATATGCACTCGACAGGGCGGAAGTGAGTTAGTCCCGGACCCGCGCACTGATGAACACCATAGAGCCCCGTGAACGGCGCGAGAACAGCGCGAACAACGCCGCTCTGCCGTTGGCCATTGTGGGTATCTAGCTCAGAAGGCGGAAGTGATTGAGTGAGTCCCAGGGCCTCGAGGCGCATGCGGTCGCTGGGGTCATGCAAATGTGTGGCAAACCCCCGCTTGTGTTTTTTGGCTCTGCGGTCGGCCACCGCAAATATGTAGCCGAGAAAGCAAAAGTGAGTAAGTGAGTGAGTCCAGGGGCAAAGGTTTCTTAGGAAAGCGTTTGTGAATGGGGGGGGGGGGATGGCCCAACCCCCACGATTGTCAAATGGTTTTGAAGCTTTGCAAGCTTGGTTTCTACCAAAGGGATGCCTTTGAGAGGACTTGCCCCCCCCCCCCCCCCAAACCCCCTCTTTTTCGATCGTTTTCCAAAGTCGTCGTCGTGTTTGCAAATGGGGAGGCGGGAGGGGGGGGCGGGGGTGGGGTGCGCCACCTCTAACCACCCCGTTTGCTTTGAATACTTGTTTGAAGCGCTTTAGTTTTTGGCGGAGACGTCTACTGTATGACCTCCATATATCTTAAAGGGAAAACTTGCTCTACAGCTTAAACTTTAAAGGAATCCTCCATTTCCTTTGAATTTAATGGGAAAGCTCATGTTTCCTCTGTTGTTTAGCTAAAGAAAACATCAAGTTACTAGTTCCTCGATGTTTTGACAGCAAAACTTGTATTTCCCGTATGTTAAACCTCAGTTGCCTCGATATTGCACTCGGAAACCTCTCTAAAGCCTTTGTTTCTTAGGAAACCAGGAATTTCCTTTGTATTCTAATCGGAAACCCTGACCAAAAACCAATGTCCAAGACGAAAAATGATCCAAAACTACCTAATCTCAAGCACTCTTGGCGATTGGCAACGCAGGGTGTTGTTTTTTGCCATGCCGTCGTTTTGTGCAGTCGTTGTCGACTGACTTTTTGTCCTTGCAGTCTCTGACAGCACACCAACGATTGCAAAACAAAATCGTTCCGCTAGGCTAAGGGGCGTCTTTTCTGCTGCGAAAGGCCGCAGCACGTTCCTTTGTTTACTGTGCAGTCGCTTTTGCCGTGGAGGCCGAGGGTTTCTTCGTGTTTGTTCAAAGTGCCTCCGAGATCACTACTCCGGTGTAGGCTTAGACAGGCATGAAGTAGGCTTGCCCACTCCTGCCTCGATTGCCAGGCAGCCGCTGTCTTTTTTGTCCATGGTGCCCAACCCAGGGGTAAGCCGGGAAAGCAGCCGAAGTCGTGGATCTTTCCAACTGCAGCATGGCTCGTATGATGGGCCAAAATGCACGCAATCCTTCTGATCTCATCACCGTGCACATCTGTGAAAGCCCCTAGCAAGGGCACCGCAAGTTGAAATGGATCAGGTCTTCTACTGGACAGTTGAGAAGCCCATATGGGCTATCCAGTCAGAGGCTGGGTCATGCAGGGTCCTGTTCCACATCGACTTACCAGCTGATGGCTCCCTGTCAGGAGTTCCCAGACTACCTGGGCCTCTTTGTTCACTGCATTAGTTGGGTCTTGACCCTCATCAGCCTTTTCTTTAGCGACTCGGACGGCAGCGAAGAACTTCTGGCCCGCACTCAGCACAATGGGGGGGGCAACTTTGTGCGCTTTGCAGCCCCAACGAGTGTTGTGCAGTGTTCATGTGACGATGGCACGTTCTAATAAAAACTGTGCCACTGTCACTTTATGCACATTGCAGCATCCGTGTTTCACGGCCATGTCAGCCAAGTGGCAATGGCCCGTTCTAGTGTTGGCATGCTCTGGTGTCCACGTTGTCAGCCATGATGATGCTGAGCACATACCTTTCGAACCTGTAGACTCAAGAACAAAGCATCCTCCTGCGCCAACGCAATACCATTTCCTCTCGACTTTGTTTCTTCTACCGCTTCAACACTCCTACCCCCTGTTTCCCTGCATGCCCTCTAGATGTCAAGAAGAACTCAGACCAACCCCCCACTGCATCTTGACTGGAAAACCTACTTAGGAGTTGCGTTTGTGAGTTGACCAGAGGCGGGAGAAGTTTGGGGTCGGCAGGGCGCGCACCCCATTTTGCAAACAATGTTTTTGCGAACGGACGCTCTCCCCTCCCTCCCCCGGGCAGCAAAAGTCAATCAGCATGGAAAAGCATAATCCCAAAGGCGCTGAGCAAAGCCCAAAGAAAAATCAAAGTATAGAAGCAAAACACAGACAAGAAAACAAGCAACAACGCAAAAGCAGAAGAGAAAAGTTTACGGAACAAGCAAAACAACAGAATGATTAATGAAGATCATGTATTTCGATCATCCCCGCCCCAGAGTCAACCAATGAGGGGCCATTTTCGGCCAGGTAGTTGAGGATTGTGTCATGTTTGGCTCCAGGGATACTCTGCAGCAGGGATCCTCTGGGACTGGGGCTCCACGCACCAGGCTTAGGATTCTCTGCGGGGTTCTGCCCCAGGATACTCGGCGGAACTCTCTCTGCGGGATTCTCTTTGGGTCAGCACACCACTGGGCCGGGAGAGTCGGGCCGGGGCACCAGGCGAGAAGGCGAAGAGAATGGTTGGCTGAAAATCTAGCAGCCCAACCCCCCCAAGGTTGGTAAAAGCAAAAGAAGAACAGGCAACAAGAAGCATGAAATCAGAAGGCAAGAGGCATAGAACAAAGGAGAAGCGAGAAGCAAAAAGCAAGAGACCAATAAACAACACACCAAAGCCCGAAAGCATAAACGCGGAACATTGTGGGAACAGGCCACAGGGACCCGAAACAAAATCACAAGCCCCAAAAGCAAAAAGCAGCTCAACTTTCTCCGGGTTCACACATGCTTAGGCAGGCCGATGTGGCCTCGGGAGCTACCATTGAGTTCTCAAGAGGTAGACACCATGTAGTTGCGACAGGCCGTGTTCCATTCTCCTGCCAACACGGCGGGTGGCTGCTACTGTTTGGTGTCGCCTACCTAGTCTGGAACTCAGGAATGCACAGCTACAAGTGAGCAGCACGGAGAGCACCCAAGCAGGAAGGAGAATTCGTGCAAGAGCTTTCGACCCCCAAAATGAGCTGACGGGTCGCTAACGAGGTCTTTTCCTTCGCGCACTACTGCTTGAAGGTTGGATTGCACTGCGCTCAGACAGGGAAGTTCGGAACTCCTTGACGCCCTGGCACGAGTACTACAGCACCCTGCATGTGATTCTTTGCTTGGTGGCAAGAACACATGTCTCCACTGCAGACACGACTTATCATTTCAGTGGTGGTGCATTTGCCTCGAGGTTATGAATGTAAGCCCCTACAGAAGTCAGGCCCCCATCGTGAACCTCCCTTATCAAGACTGTCACGGTAACTTAGAGAAATTGCTCGAAAAAGATTGCCATGCTCTGGAAGTATACTAAGTATACAGTATGCACGACACGAACTTCCACTGGTAGATGTGGGGGGTCTCAACAAGGAGAGTCGCGACTAGCATGTCTAACTGGGGTTCTCAGCCCGAGCCTGTCTTCAAGAAATGTTTGGTATTTGTTGCCCCCCTGGTGTTTTTGGTTCAGCTTCTGGAAGTGCAGCACTCTTAGACTCTTAGCTAGATAGGGCATACAGATCAGATTATCTCCAGCACTCCTGGAACCACCGCACTGTTCTATGTTCCTATCCGGCTGCCAAGCAAGTCCTTTGCACGGCAGTATGCAAGTTTACGCCCGTAAGGGTAGATTCGCTTTGCTAGAGCCTGTCAGCAACTTTTCTGTTTGGGCCGTTAGGGCAACTGTCACATCGCTGCGATTCGTGGAGCTGATCGAGTAAACCCATGTGTTCTATCTCTGCCTGTGCTGTCGCTTGAGCTCTTTTGGGAAATTGAGAAATCGTCGGCGGCGACGACATTGGGTTTCTGTGACCATACCAACTCGTCTGCTTTTAGGAAGACATCAAGGCCGCCCAACTAATTCGGCATGAAGCTACGCAAGTTGGTTTTGCCACCAGGTCCGATGCTAACAAGGTTTCCATGGTGCGCAGTGCGCAATGCAGTTGAGGAACCAGCCCCATGTGATAGACCATGACAGACCAGGCCAGATGGGTGCATGGGCTACATTCAGCCTGAGTGCCCAATTTACGAGGCCAGCTCTAGAGAAGTTTCATGGTGTGTTGGTGGTTTCGACGAGGGTCG